TGATGCCCCTGCAGTGCCTTTTGTTAATGAAATTTTACTGCAGGCAGAAATGAAGGGACTTCCATGACCTAAAAGCCCTTCTGTTTCTTTATTAAAGGTATTTATATACTACAGGCTTCTCAGGCCAGGCCTGTCAGTGAAGCCTAGAGAATTAGTCCCCCATTTACGATGGCAGCAAGGGGCAGAAGAAGGTGGTCAAATCTGAGTGTGGTGACCGGACAACACACTTCTCGCTGGTACTGAGCAGAGGCTACTACTGGTGGTCTTTGCTCAGTGCCAATTTTTTTCTCCTGGTCTGACATACTTGGGAACTTCCTGAAAGGGACATACCAGAGGGCTGTTTTACTCCCTCCCACATGGCTGGCACTCAACAGAACAGGAAGAAGCTTACCCTCTTCCTTCAAATAACCTGTCCATTTTCATACTTCGCATCTAACTGCACAAACACCTGCCATCCACCCTCCTTTCTGTGTGGTAGTGGAAGAAGCCCATTTCTGATGGGCTTGCTGCCTGTGACCTTGGACAAGTCACTGATCTTCCCTGGGCCTCAATTTCATCATTTTTAAAATCAGAGGGTAGGACTAAAACCTTGCTCTGGTTCTATGATGCTATCCTTCTCACAACGTGGCCACTTCCACTTCTGTCCTTCACCCTCCAACAGAACTTAAGATCTATTAGACTGGGCTAGCCTGAGATCCCTCTTGTTCAGGATTTTGCCTGTCAACCTCAAAAGCCAGTCAATAAACATTTCTCTTTCTTTTTTGGGGGGGGGTTGGTGGAGCTAGGCAACAGGATTAAGTGACTTGCCCAGGGTCACACAGCTAGTAAGTGTGTCTGAGGCCAGATTTGAACTCAGGTTCTCCTGATTCCAGGGCCGGTGCTCTACCCACTGTGCCACCTTGTTCCACAATAAACATTTATTAAGTGCCAAATATATGCCATGCACCATTCTAAGCATTTAGGACAAATATGAAAAATATGAAATATGAAAAAAAATAGTCCCTGTACTCAAGGAGCTTACAATCTCCCAGGGGAAGACAACACACAAAAGAAAAAGCAGGGTGAAGGTGGGGTAGGCTGGACAAGAAGGTGCCCAGGGGCATGATGGAGTTTGGTCCAAGGGTGCAAGATGGGAGGAAATTAAAAGCTGGCCAGCCTGGGAGGCCTTTAAAAATGGAGGGGAAGTTCTTTGCTCTGCCCTCCAGCACTGGTGAGAATTCTATCTAAGATTTTTTTGAAGTTACATCAGTTTTGCCCTGAACCCCCTCCTGGGGTAAGTCATTCCATGTGTTTACTTTCTGCCATTTAAAGTAGGTTTAACACATAAATGTGTTTCTCCTAAACTTACCCTTTGAAAAGGTTCAATTTACCAAAGGGGAGAAAAGAAATTCTGAATGGTACCATGCACCAAAGTATCTTTGTGACATATTGGTTGAGAAACAATGAAACCAGGACAGGAAGACTCATTGCAACTGTGTTTGTAAGGGGTCTAATCCTATCTCCTCCTCTTCTGCCAACAGAAATAATTATAATTATTATCATAATTATAAAGCACCTTACATATGTTAGCTGAGTTTTACCCTTACATCAACCCTGGGAGGCAGGAGTTATGATTATCCCTATTTTTACAGATGAAGAAACTAAGGCTGAGAGAGGCTGAGTGACATGTCCAGGCCCAATCACGTCTTCCCACGTTCCTTGAGGGAACTGGCAATGTCCCCTTGTCTTCCTTAAGATACCCTTCCTGAAAGTTTGATTCTGCCAAACCCACTCAAGCCCTAACAAATCTGTGGGAGGAAACAACCAATCTGATATTGCCAAATGCAGCTGCATAGAAAATTCAGCAGTTGCTCTAAGATGTTGGTGGCACACTGAGATTATAGTAATCTCTGTAGTCCTCGTCCCAGTTAAACTTTGTATTTCCCTCAGGGTATAAGCACAGTGAGTGCTCAGCATACATTAAATGCTTAATAAATGGCTACTCTGTAATTAAGGGAAGAAGGGTAAAAGCAATCTATGATCACAGAGGTCATCCTTTTGCTCAATTCTTTGGTCAATTCTTCTCCCTTCATTCCTGCCCTTGGGGGAAAATGTTGTCCACAAATCCAACATAAATGCATTAGGATCACTATAACATGGCTTATGACAGACTGTGGGTCAAATGGTACTCTAGCAAATTTAACTACAAAAAGCCCAATAGAGGTTGTCTATCAAGCAAGCAGTACCTTATCCATAATTAACATTTAACAAATGTCTGAAGCCTCCTAGAGACAAATAACTCTCTGTGGGGATTTTGTTCTCCTATAGATGGGACCTTTGGAAACCATCCTACATGCAGGGCCAACCCTGAAGCTGTTTTTCAATTGGTGTGTTCCAATATGTGAAAAGCTTCTCAGGGCATGGTATCAACCCTCCAACCCAGGGGGGCCAGGCTTCTGGGTCTGTGCAACAATGGGCATGGTCCCTCTCCTGGCAGTATATTACCAGAACCAGTGCATCCTCCTTGGGAGGCAGACTGAGAGCTGAAGGCCTCACAATAGAAATTTTGTTTTATTCTATGCTGGTGCAAAGAGTTTCCTTGAGCTGAGGTCCTAGGCTGATGGGTAGGAGACTAGAAATTATAATAAATAGCAACTCACATTTCCTCTCCTTGGAGAAGATTTAAGAAAGTTTATCCCTTACCAAATGTTTTCATTTTCAATTAAAAAAATACTCCTTGCCTTCTATATACTAAGACCTGTGTTCAATGCTCTTCTCCCAAGAATCCTATGATGGGGGCACCTAGGTGGTGAAGTAGATAGAGCTCCGACCTTGGAGGCAGGAGGACCTGAGTTCAAATCTGGCCTTAGACACACTCACTAGCTGTGTGACCCTGGGCAAGTCACTTAACACCAATTGCCTCACCCCCCCAAAAAAAGAATCATATGATGGATTTGCACATATTAGGGGGGTAAAATTTTATCATATTGGATTGAGGTCAACAGTACAAGTACTGTCATCATCTTCATTTTACAGATGAGGACAGAGACTCTCAAGTTAAATGATCTGCCTAAAGTCACACATCAGACAGATGCAGCAGTAGGGATTTGGATCCAAGGCTGCTTTCTTCCTACTATACCAAACTATCTTTTCAGTGCAGGGATCTGCCACCAACTCTACTACTGGGCCCAAGGGGTAAGCAGAGTGGGCAAATCATGTTAGGGATTTCTGCCTTAAAGGAAAGTTAGCAAGCTGACATGAAGTTGGTCTCCTAACAGCAGAAAATGCTACCCAGGACACTGGCGCCTACTTATGTCCTGTTTGAATGAAGCCTTTAAGCTCCCCTGATGATGCATTTTTCTCTGAGATAAAAAGCAGAAACCCAACATGCATGCAAATCTCTATAAATGAGACAAGGACGATCTTGCTGCTTCTGTGTTAGGCAGGGTGAGCTTACTGTTACTGAATCTAGAGGGAAGATCTAACCATTCTTCATTACCTCTGTGAAGTGAGTGCACAACACTGTTTGAAAGCCATGTATGTTTGGGGCTCTCAGAATTCTCTGAACAACAACAACAACAAAAAAAAAGGGATTTGAGAAGCTAGTCTGCAAATGAAGGCATCATTCACTATGAAAGAGAGGTGCTGGGTGAGTAAGTTTATTGCGGTGGACACTAAGATATTAACTCAATTCAACAAATGTTTATCAGGGGTTTACTATGTGCAAAGCATTAGGTGTTTCCATTTTGAGACTAGTGATCTAATCGACAACTCAGAAAATAATGCACGAATGACCTTTGTTGGAAAAAATCAATAAGCACTCTTTCCCTGACAAAAGAGGTAATTATAAGAGGAAGTGCTCACAGGATTGAAGGGAGGAGGGGAAGGAAGTGTTAATGAGATAATTAACATTTCTCCTACTATGAGCAGCTATGAACACAATCAGCAGCTCTGCACAAATCCTAAGAAAGACCATCAAATGGTAAAAACATGCGGATTGAAATTTGGTGACAAGGGTACTTAATTTGTACTCAGGAGTTTCTATTTCTCTGCTTCTAACTTGTTTTTCCTATTGTTATAATTCAACAGTAAGGGTCTGAACAATATATACTTTCTTTATTAAAAAAAAAAAAGCCAACTTTTTTAAATAGAAAAAAGACCCAGGATAAATTGAAACTAGAATGACATTCACCTACAAAAACCCTTCCGTGGTTTCATATTAAGCTATTATATAGTGATTTCAGGACTTTCTAGAAGAGCACTGTACTTGAGACATGCCTTGAGTTCTTCACATTCCCCACCCCTCAGGTGCCTCTTCTCTCATTAACCATCCCCAAATATAAATCTGCTGGATCTAAATTAATCCATACCCCCAGAAAAGATATTTAACCCCTTTTCTCCCTCCTAGTTATTCATTTATCCTTAGGATAGTACTCTTACTCAAAATATTTTTTGCATCTTTATCTTAGAATTGCCTTCAAAGCCTATAGTACATTATTTTTAAACTGAACAGTGAATTTTTTTTTTAATCTTCTTTTAAATGTGATGGATTTAATTTTTGGAAATAGAAGATAGTCAGTCTTAGCTGACTGAATAAGGAAAGTAGTCAAATTGGAGCTTATTTTTGGTGAAAAATGAAGTTATGACTATAAATCTTGGAGGCTAATTTTCTCACATGGGTCATAAATGGGCTCTGAAGCTAATTTCCAAAAATGTTTCTGAGCAATGACAACCTTACTGGAATAAGCATGAAGTCACTCGGTGATTATTTTGATTGACAACACTTAGTTGAATGCCTTATTTCTTATTTGCTTATTAAATTAGTCTCAGGACTTCATAGTCACATTCTGTATGCTGAATGTTACAAGAATCAGATGGTTAGAGCTGTATGGGGAATTAGAGATCTAGTCCAATCTTCTCATTTTACAGATGAGAAAACTGATGGTCGTGTGAGGCAGCATAAACTCACCATTCTTTTTATGAAAAGTATTCACGCACATATACAAAAAACACAAGGCCAGGAATACCAAAACTAACTTTAATGTGTCCAAAAGCCAAATTAAAATTTGTGTCCTAGAAAAGGCATTTCAGGTTGAAGGGATCAGAAGCAGACATGAAGCTCACAGTCTGAGGGGTGAAAGGAAAGGCAAAATAGGACTAAAAGTTCTCCAGCAGTTCCAGAATACGCTTCTGTTCATTCTCCTGGAATTCCTGGTTCTTCCCATCACCAATGTTTTCTGCATATTCTGAGGAAACAAAGGTAGAAGAATAGTGATCAGTACATGATGGACTGGGGGGAGTTAAATCTGGTTGCCTGTGTGCACATCAGAACTCGTCATGGGGCAGTGTGCTGACTGGGTTTCATTTCACCCCTAGCTGGGATGTGTCTAAAAAGTGAGCAATGGATTTCTCTCTCTCTCAGGTGTTCTCTCGGGTGGTGAAAAGCTTTTGCACCATGAAAGCATCTACTGATCCTGAGTGGAAAAGCACTTGGGAGGGAGAAAAGAGAAAAAATAACCTTATTACAATTTGGAAACAATTCTGCTACTGCCACTTTCTGTAATTCCTCCTCTTACTCTTTATTACTACAGACATCTGCAGGAAAACACGATCTGGGCTGCAGACATGGTCCAGCTGTGCATTTTTCCACCTGAAACCATCATCCCTTATTACAGACCTCAACAGTGAACAAATGTGATGCCTGATATTAAAGAACCTTCAGGAAAGAGATAGGCAACAGGAAGCAGGGAATGAAATAACTGGAAGAGAGGATCAGTGAGTGATGTATCATCTTCACCTGCCAGGAATGCTGTCACATCCCCAGGAGAAATAGAGAAAGAACCATTACGAAACAGTGCAGTGTTTAATACCCTTGGGGTACTTTCTTATGGTAAGAGTCTTGATGAAATGAACTAACACTTTGTTCCTCTAATGCTTTGCGACCTCTGAGGGAAGGAAGTAAGAAGAAACTGCCCTTCTGGGGTAGTGATTCTCCAACAGTAAAGTTGGCCTCCCTAGAGGACCCCTAATCACTTCCAGGGTAAGTGCAAAACAGAAGGGAAACCAAAGTCTGAGACAACCTACTTGCTGAATTATCTCCACTAAGATCTTCAGACAAACACTGAGCACCCAATAAGAAAGGAAGCACAAAAACAGACAGACCTAGCCCTGCTCAAAATTGAAGGTGCCTTCTGTGAAGGCAATGACTGTAGGGTCTGTGCATTTTGACAAATAGGCTGTTTTTATACACAAGCCCAGAATAAACCATCTTTCCCCTGAAGAGACCCCCAAAGCTAGACAATTCTACTTTGTCTAAGAATGCTATTGTAAAATATTCCTGAAAAGAAAAATCACCTTTAATAGATTTTTTATTTTGAGGTGAGGACAAAACTGCCCTTCCCTTAATGGTTATATATGGCTACCCTGTTGAGCCCTGTAAAGCACTCCCTCTCACAAATGAAAGCCCTTCAGTATGATAGTCATCTTTCAAGAGGGGCCTCTTAGGCTCTCTTAGCTAAGTCTGTTATTTATAAAGTGCATTGAGTGTTTAAAAGAAGCAAAACTCTTTCAGGGCACCTGGACACAAGGACCTTATAAAGAGGCAAGCATGTAACAGGAATACCTCTGAGCAAAGTCACTTCAAGTACCAAGATGGTGTTGAGTTGCCAACTCCTACCATAGCAATTCTACCATGGCAATCGCCCTCCAATAAGCCCTGTCCTGTCCACTCCTATGTCACCACTCTGACTCAAGGCCTCCTTACTTCTCTCCTAGCATATACCAGAACAGCCTCCTACCACTATCTTGACTCCAGTGGCATTCCGTTCAATCCATTCTGAAAAGCTTAACAGAGCAAGCTTCCCTAAAGCAGTGACTCAATACACATTTATTAAGCACCTACTAGGTGCCAAGCACTGTGGAATGAAAAGAAAGGCAAAAGCCAGCCCCTGATCTCAAGGAGTGAACAGTCTAATGGGGAAAACAATCTGCAAAGAACTATGTACAAGGAAACTATAGACAGGATAAATTGGAAATAAATCAACAGTGTAAAAGGGAATTGAGAAATGCTTCCTGTAGAAGATGGTATTTTAGCTGGGACTTGAAGGAACCCAGTAGGTTGAGATGAGGGAGAGCATTCCAGGCACGGGGGAAGATGGGGAGGATGGACAACAACCAGTAAAAATACTCCGAGTGGGAGATGAGAGTGTCTTCCTCAAGGAACAGCACAGAAGTCAGTGTAGACAGAATAAAGACTATGTGGTGATAGTGGTGGTGGTGGGTGTGGTCTAAGTTGTACGAAGACTGGAAAGATGTTAGTAGGGGGACAGGTTATGAAGGACTTTGAATGTCAAGCAGAAGATTTTCCTATCTGATCCTGGAAGCAATAGGGAGCCACTGGAGTTAACTGACTAGGAGGTGACATGGTCAGCATTAGGAAAATCACTTTGGCAGTGGAGGGCAGGATAGCCTGGAGTGAGAAGAGGCTTGTGGCAGGGAGACCACCCAGGCATGAAGTGATAAGGACCCGTACCAGGCTGGTGGCAGTGTCAGAGGAGAGAAGGGAGTGTATATGACAGATATGATGGTAAAATCAACAGGCCTTAGCAAGACATTAGAGATGGGGAATGAGGGAAAGCAAAAAGTCAAGGATGACACCTAGGTTATGAGCCTGGCTGAATGGGAAGATGATAGAGGCCTTAACAGGCCTTAAGTTAAGGTCTTCACTTAACAGCAAAGTTAAGAAGTAGAGGTAGGTTGGGAGAAAGGCAACGAGTTCAATTTTGAATACGTTGACTTTAAGACGTCTATGGGACATCCAGTTCAAGATGTCTAACTGGTAGTCAAAGAGAGGTTAGGTTTGGATAAACAGATTTGAAAATTATCTAAGCACAAACAGAATCTATGAAAGCTGATGAAATCACAGTATAAAAGGAGAAGAGAAGAAGGCCCAGGACAGAACCCTGGGGGATACCCATACTTAGTGGGTGTGACCTGGATGTGAGTGGTGAAGGGGGAAAGAAATAGTCAAAGACAACTCTAAGGTTTTGTGACAGGTGACCAGGAGACTGGTGGTGCCAAAAGAAACAAGGAGTCACGATGAGGGACAAGTTTAGAGAAGTTTAGTCACAGATATGCTGAACTTGAGGTGCTGGTAAGACCTCTAGGTGCTGGTAAGATCTCTAGGTGGAGTTGTCTGTTAAGCCGCTGAAAATCCAAGTCTGAAGGTCAAGAGAAGTCAAGGTTGGAGATTTGGGAGTTGTCCACATAAAGGTACTGCTTTTTCAAACGTCATCCCTTATAGTTACAAGTGACTCTCTCACCTCTGAACTCCCAGAGCATTATCTATACCTCTTAGGCAATGAACACATGCTCCCAGACATAGTTATCTGAATACACTTTTATTTCCCCTATCAGGTTCTAAACTCATCATAACTTAGATGGGGCTTACTCACCTTCAAACAAAGGTATATAAACACAGGGTATTGCATATAATAATTTCAGCTAACATTTATACAGCACTTACTATGTGCTAGGCTGTGTTAAGTGCTTTACAACTATTATCTCATTTGAGCCTGAAAACAACCCTAGGAGGTAGGTGCTATTATTATCCCCATTTTACAGATGAGGAAACAGGCAAACAAACACTTGTCCAAGCTCCCACAGCTAATAAGTGTTTGAGGTCAAATCTGAATTCAGGTCTTTCTGACTCTAGCCCCAGCGCTCCATCCTGGACACCACCTAGGTGCCTCCTAATAGCAGAGACTCATTCATTCAATGCTGATTGAATGAAAGTGTCTCCACCCTTTGGTCACTGCACGGATGGCTGGTGATTTCTCAAGCCTACATATACCAGATTTAGTTCCTCTGTGACCAGTCTATCCCATACCTATTTCCTTCCCCATGAAAACAGGAGAAGGGTACCAGTTTTCCATTTTATCCATCATCATCCTTTGTTTTCACAGTACAGTCCTATTTGCAGCAAATCTTGGTAGTGCCAGCTACCTCTGGTTATTATAGCTACAGTAGCAGTTTATAAATATTAAACAGATTTCTCCCAGAGGTCTTGGGAAAAGAGTTCTCTTTACTTTCTGTGCGTGTTGGGGGGTGGGGGCGTGGATGGGGGAGATGCACTCGGGGAGGGGTGAAGAGGGGAGAGAGGGAGGTGATGGTAAGGGAGGATGAGTCAGATGGAGAGAGAGCGTAAGAGATGGCACACACATCAGCAGCTTCTCTACTTCCCCAGCCTTTTCAAATGCTCTTATAATAAAAGCTTTGATGGAGCTCAAAACATGTAGCAGTGCTGAACACATAAATATTAAAGCAAACTTTCGACAGCAGGTTTACTATTCAGACACTGAATACAAGCTGTTCTGTTTATGTTAAGAAAGAGGGAGGAGGGAGAGATGAAGATGGTGGATGGGAAAGTGCTATCTTCCCAGGCAAGCATTTACCAGAAGATCTCACAAATCTTCTTCAGATCCTTGGGACTTCTAGATCCAAATTCCTACCCTCTAAAAGGGCACAGTGGGAAAGGAAAGCAATAATATTTTTGCCTAGAAACTACTAATGATTACGGAGGAATCCTGAAGGAGCCAAAGTTATCTTTCTCCCAAGGCTATAAAGAAGATACTCTAACCTTAAAGAAAGTTAGAGAAATTTCCACCAAACAAAAACAAAGTTTAGATCAGAAGAGAAGTCTTAAGGGTTTTGCCAAATGGAAATTACTTTAAAAAAACAAGACTGAGGAATTCTAGAAATTACATTTCTTGAGGAAGAGGAGGATATTTTAGCTAGAGTGAGAACAAATGAAATAGCAAGGAACAGAATGAAAATTCACTGGAGATTTCATGAAAATCCAACCAATCAAACAACAACCTTATTATGGTTATGGTTACTCCTACGCTGCTGCTTTGTGCTACCTTGCCATGGCAGCAAAGCAACAATCCTGAAGCTCTCTGCTGGGGTGGGGGGTGGGGGGGAGTGGTGTTGGAAATTTAACCTGTGACAAGGCATTTCACAGCCAAAGCCATAAGGTTTTCTATTACTGGCTTTCTTATGGAGACAACATAAAGAAACCTAGACCCTTGTCTGTGTCCTAACTGCTGGATTCAGCTCCAGGGCAGAAGCTGACAGACCGGTTGAGCTGTGTTAAGCTTTGGCTGTCTCCAAATGCAGATGTGAGCACTTCCTTCTCCAGAGCTTAAAGAAAGGCCACTGTGCTACAGGGGTGGAATCTTCAGGCTTA